TTTTTGTTCTGTGTATAAAAATGGTGCTCTTTACCTATATTATGTAATAGTCCATACATCTCTGTTATCTGTTAAAAAAATATTTTATGTTTGTCATCCCATTTGTGAAGTATATCACACATAAAAAATGCATGTGTTATTTCCTTTTAATCAATAGATAAATTTTTTTTATACATTCCAAAAACACTAAAAGAATATTATACTAGAAAAATATTGTTAGGAAATTTTTATTRAACATATTTATTTAGAAGTTTTTGCTAAAAAAAAAAACACATTGTATGATCATTACATTAGTTGCTATAACAATATTAATTTATTATGTTGTGTAGTTATATCATAATTTATCATAAAATAATAATAATTTATGCCATAGTCATTGTGATTAAATGATAATCAATTAGTCAAGAATAGTTTAGATCAAAATTTGTAATTATTATAAACAAAAAAAAAAAAAATTAAAAAAAAACAAAAATCAAAAGATAAAAAAAAATTCCTATATAACTTTTGACTTAACATTTATGTGTAGGTGTACCTAATCATAAAAGAAATAGAATTAATTAAGTTCAAATTATTGTTATTTTATTTGATTATGTATTTTGTTTATGTACATTTTGCTGAATAATTATATATATATATATATATATATATATATATTTGTGAGTAAATCGAAAAATGATTGTTAAATATTTTGTGTTGTTTTTTTCCCTTCTTGTACACTATTTTTAGAATGATTGATAAAAAATGTATTCACACCAAAAAATGCTACGACATTTTTATTAAAATGTTTTTATTTAGTTTATCTGTGTTAGTAAATACTGATATTTTTAATTATGAAATAGGTATATATCTTTTAGAAAATAGCTTACMATTGCAGATACCTATAACTGTTTGAAGTATCCTAAACATTTTTACTCTATAAATGCGGTATAAGCAATTTTTCATTCTTTTGATATAAAATATGTGTGYTCCGCAGACTTGTATAAAATACTTAAAAAGTATATATTATATATATACGAGTATATATAAATAGATGCATTTGATAAACACATAAAAAAAATTGACCTGGCTTTAGAACCTTTGGGTAACGATTTATACAAATAATAAAAAACGTCATTGGTCCAGTGAACCATAGGTAAGACATAAGCTTATAAAGCTTAATATTATTAAAAATCATATTCTTGTCTCTTTGATTCTTTATAAACTAAATGTATATGTRTATACTAAATGTATGACCTATTATGAGTATAATCTAAAGATATTATAMCTCCGGATAAATGTGCAATATATGCTTTGGTACACACACAGCATAATATAAAGGTTGTATAGTTATGAAATAACTGTCTGCATCCTCAAACAGATCAAAAGGTAAAAATCCAAACACAACACGKCGTCATGTATTCAATTCACTATCGACCAATTCATCATAACAGCCGCCCAAACAAYATCCAGTATTCAAAATTCAACTTCAAACATTTGGACATCATCAAAACATTATTAAATCCTTTAAGGTACGCTRCACACATATTTGCTGTTTCCGTCTTACAAGTGCGTAATATAGCAAATTTACGTTCAACTCCGTTACTATAAAAATTAGAGTAAATTGACATATTATGAAACTTGATGGTAAGAATATTTTATGTGGRTTTTTTGCGGATAACTTAGTTTTTAAGTGAGTTATGAGCTTTTTAATTTACGCTTTTTATATACGCATAACTTGCTTCAAAATTGAACTATCGTAAAAAACCCACATACAAACAAAGATAATGTTATTAACATCAAGTTTCTTAATTAGTCGATTCACTCTAATTATTAAACTAATGGAGCTAAACGTGATCTGCTAAAAGTGAATTTGGTATGTTATGCACTTGTAAAATGGTGACAACAAATACCAGTGTTACGTCCTCTTAGTATCTTTACTAACCATATATTCTTAAAAAAACTCAACAAAATGTCAATATTAAACACTCTTTATTTACAATATTAAATTTATTATCCACAAACTTCGTTAAATATTTCTTCGTTCTATGTTTAATTCTTCTGCTAT